AGTTCAAGCTTGTCTACTCTCAAAGGCGCAATTTTACGCTCCAGCCATATTCTCCATATCATGGCTGATACTCTGGCTCTCCATAGTAGCATAGCCGCAGGAAGGGTAAGGACGAAAGAAGAAGGCTGAGAACAATTTTTGCACTAACCAGGGACCACCAATGCCCCCTTGAAACTTTGGATCATACAGGTCCATAAATGGCTGGCCACAGGACAATGGATGAAGAGGTGTTCGCTAGCTCCCCTTGCATCCTTGCACATAGCACATCAATCGAGAGATGGATTCCTCGTCATTGTAAATTGTTGATGGAATCCATTGCAAGTGGGGCTTGGTTTTACATGCTTACTATAAATAATGAGATCCCTACTTTAAAGAGTATACATAATCCTTGATTATCATACACTTTAAGGTTGGTAACAAGATCCTCAAAAAGTTGGGATCAAGATCCCAAAAGGTCGGGATCAAGATCCCAAAAAGGTTGGAATCTCGATCCCGAGCATTTGGAGATCTCGATCCCTAACATGTGCATCGTACGAATGGCGTTCCCAACCATAGGGATCTTCTAATATTTCACGATCCCTCGCACCCGATCACGTTCTTGATCCCAGTACCATTCCCACTCCCGATCCCAACAACTATGCTTTGAGGTCTGTAGCGACTTCAAAGCATCTGAGGAACAACAAAGCTTATCGTCTGGTTGGGGAATTGTGTCGCAGAAGACCAATATGTCTGGTACATATTGAAGATAGGAGATTTGAGGCAGTGAAGCATCTTGTGGTGGTACAATCTTCATATAGTTAAACTACAAATTTCAGCCATGATTAAAAGAACCTAGGAGAGGCGAAGAAGCCTCGAGGGCAACCATTAATCAGCACCTTGTAGTTCGGGGACGAGATGCACCCCTATATTCATGATCTTTTTTTCTGCCCAAACCCCATAAGGTATAACACTTGGTCGACAATAAATTAGTCCACATGATTGTAAGCCTTTTCTAATCAAGCTTAAAGACCAGGCCAAGGATTTTATACTGATGTCTAGAATGGATGCACTCATGTGCAATTAAAGCCCCATCTAAAATATGCCTATCCTGTACCAAAGCCCCTTGGTTTGTTGAAATAACAAAATTCAAGACCTGCTGAAAGCAAGAGGTAAGGATCTTTGAGAGGATTTTGTAATAACCATTGAGGATACTCATAGGCCTGAAGTCTTTCAATTCTTCTACCCCTTCCAGCCTAAGGGCCCATGCGATGAATGTGGAGTTCATTCCCTTATGAATATTTCCCCTCTTGGTGAAACTCAACGAAAAAGGCCAAGAAGTCTCCCTCTAAGGAATCCCATAACTTGTGGATGAATAAGCCTCGCAAAAAACATCAGGCCTAGGTGCCTTATCTTGACCCCACTCCAATACTGCTCTGCAATCCCCAATTTGGTGAATGGCCTTTCTAACCACCACTCTGCCCCATCTCTAGGCAAAGTAAGAAAAAGAAGATTTGCAATCCTCGGCCTAGCATGGGGATGGACTGAAAATAACTTCTCGAAATAATTTATTTTCTAACCCTATTCACATCTCAAGGCATGTCGTAGGTCTAATTGTTCTCCTAAATCTCCCTTATGGAATTAGGTCTTCTCTGAAAGTTTGTTCTCTCACAAAAGAAAGATGTGTTCTCATCCCCTTCTTTGAGACATTTTACTCTTGATCTTTGGAATCAATAGACCTCTTCTTGTTTAAGGATGGTCTGAAACGACATATTTGCTTCAACCTACTTGTCCTCTCCTCCAGGTCATCATATCATCATTAGAGCTTTTTCCCAACTATTGGGATCGACTGCACTAATCCTAGGCAGCCATTCTGCTCTATCAAGGGTCATACCCTTAGTGAGGTCATAAGTCGCCATATCTTTTCTCATTACTTCCAACTATGTCCGTTTGGGCCTACCCCTTGCCCTTTTGAGCCTTCCACTTGAACCAACTTGCACCTCCTAATAGATGTTGTATTGGGTATACGCTGCAAATGGCCAAAATACCTAAGTCTACTTCTCTCATCTTATCACCTATTGGAGCCACACCTAAGTTCTGCCAAGTGCATTTATTTTAAATTGAGTTATTTACGTACGGACCTTAAATAAGTTAGGAAAACACGAGTTGCTCTCATTATACTCGAAAATTACAATCAAAGTCGGTCAACGCAACTTTTTTTCTTGACAAAATTATCCCCTTGGTCCGAGGATGGCATCCTCGGACCGTTTTTTTTTTTTTTCTTTCAAAACTTAAAAGTTGCGGTCTGAGAATGCCATTCTCGGACCACATCTTTAAGTTTTTTGAAAAAAAAAATAAAAAGCGGTTTGCGGATGATATCCTCGGACCGCTTGTTTATTCCAAAACTTAAAAGCGGTCCGGGGATATAGCATCCTTGAACCACTTTTTTTTTTTTTCCAACACTTAAAGTTGCAGTCTAAGGATGGCATTCTTGGACCGAAACTTAAGTTTTGAAAAAGAAAAGCAGTCTGAGAATGCCATCTTCGAACCACAACTTAAGTTAAACCCAAAAAAAAAACGGTCCGAGGATGGCATCCTCGACCCGAGGGGTAATTCTGTCAACAAAAAAAAAAGTCACGTTGACTGACCTTGATTGTAATTTTCAGGTATAAAGGGAGCAAGTCATATTTTTATAACTTATATAAGGTCCGTACGTAATTAACTCTTTTAATTAGGTACGTAATTAAAACAATTTAAGGTCCGTACGTAATTTAACTCTTTTAATTAACTTATTTAAGGTCCGTACATAATTAAATTCTATCCCTTCTTGTCTTGCCACTCATCCATCTCAACATCCTTATCCCAACTACACTCATCCTATGGCCATGTTGTTTCTTACTGCCCAATATTATGTCCCACAAAGCAAAGCTAGTCTCACAGTTGTCCTATAGAACTTCCCGTTCAACTTCATTAGTATGCAGTGAACTCCTCCGAGTCAGTTCTGTAAATTCCCTACTAAGTATAGGTCCCTAATTGCTGTTAAGATGGCCTCCATTCTTCCCTAGAAACTACCATAGTTCCAGTGGTTCCACTATTTAGGCAGCCATGGAGATGCAGTTTATTTCAAAGGCTAAATCTTTCCCAACCTTGAACATCAAAGGAGGACCCCCATTAAGGAATCAAGGGATGCCGGTTGGGTTCCTCTAGCCATATTTTCTTAAAACAACAAGGTTTCAGACCACTAGAGATAATGTCAGTTGTCCAATAGAAAAGGGTGTGGTCTGAAATAGATTTAGGGAGAGATCTAAAATGAGTTCCAGAAAATTCCACTTCCTGTATGGAGGAGATTAAAAACCTATCGATCCTACTCATGCTTGGACTGGCGGTGGGGTTTGACCAAGTAAAGAGACACCTGTTGAGAATGAGGTGAGGGGCAAGAAACCAACTCGGTTGAGTTTCGTCGATAATTCTTCCCAAGTTTGGTGACTGTAGTCTATTCAGGCCATGGAAGAAAATTTCTAACTACTGTTTTCGCATTTTTTTTTTTTAAGAGAATAATTTCCAAATTAAATTGTATGACATTCTAGTGAAAGAGACAAAGATTGAGTACATGCCTATTGTAGCTGACTCCAAAGCTAAAATTGTTTGGCCCCAAATGACCAAAATCCCACTGGAGGTCCCTTGGGCAGGTAATGCCTCCCATTGACAGGGTCAGCTACCCATTAGAAGAGATTTCAGCAGGCCGCAAGAAGACCCTGAACCCCACCATCTTGATGGCCTAGAATTCCTGCAAGAGTTTCCATCATAGTTGAGCTATTCACTTCTTTTTTTTAATAGTTCAATGCATAACAGCTGCACATAGTGAAGAAAGAGCTATGCATACATGGAAACAAAAGAATAATTGGATAAGACAAAGGAGGAGGGGGAAGAACTAAATGTGAAGACAGAAGAGGGAGAGGGAGAGGTGAGAAGTACGTGAGGGTTTGAAAACATGCTATGCAACCCTAATCGCACAACACGAGCATATAATAAAGGCATAGGCACATGAGGTTAGCCCACTAGATGTACCAGACATAGAATGCATATGAATTTAATGCATATGCGGTACTATGGAAGCAACAGTCTAGTCAGCAAGAAAGTCCATTCCAAATTCATGGTAAGAATCTAATAATCATCATATATTAGCATGTAATGTAGTTGAAACAAACTTATAAAGTCCCATAGCACAATATGTTTACCGACCCACCCATATATACCCTACTAGAAGATTCCAGACCACATTAAGACCTATACGCATGTCATAACCGACCAACAAGGGGGGATAGAGCAGTCGACGAGCTTACCTCTGCAAACTATAACTACAATTGCAAAGCTCATGAAAATACCATAAGCCCAACAAAAGAAACAAACCATCAGCCTTGTCAAAAAAGAAACAAACCATCAGCCTTGTCAAAAAAGAAACAAACCATCATAGCAAGATGACAAAACTCAAACAATGATGGAGTAGTCTCAAAAGTAGTGACTATCCTTGACACAATTGACACTGCAATGAAAAGAAAATGATGGGAATCTCTGCATGTAAAAGATGTTTATAAAAATTAATTTTTGTGTATTACAATGGAATGAGGTTATGCTAGTAATACTCTGTTGAAAGGGATATTCACTTTCAACCTGAGGGTATTTTCAATCAATCAAACCTTGTAATATATGCATAGCAAATGTATTGACCTAATACAAGTTAAATCACAAGTTTATCATGATATAATCAAGTTCAACATGGCACAAGAGCTTAAACGGTTAAGGGAAATAGGAATTGACCTATTTCCACATAAAACACTGGAATTTCAACAAAAAATTAGCAACTTGTCACCATAAAAATAGGTTTCAACACCATCCTTATATCTCACTAGCTCAAGGAAATTTTGTCCAAAACAATGAAGCAAATATAAAAATCTCTAGTTGGAAGTAGGAAAATGGAAAAGAAATACAAGGAAAGGATAAATGGTTATTGAGTTCTAATCTCATGAAGCAATCCATTCCGATTTTCTTTATCCTTCATTTTACAAAACCAAATCCAAAAAATTCATCATGCACAAACCACTGAAAGAGTAATTATACAACTGATTCAACCTACAAAACTAAATATCATCAGTAACACAATACAAAATTTGGATCCCCAACTACAAATAGCACAAGTAAGAAAACAGAAACAAGGCACGCACGTTCATCAACAAAACAATAAAAACCTCAACCAAAATTTCACCTTTGTGTGGCAAATAGAGCGCCATTCCCTTCTAAGAGACACAATGTATGAGCAATTAAGCGAACTTCTTTTATCACCATCAATCAACATTAAAGAGAGCATTCTTCAATTATTTCAAAACAAAAGTACCAAGAGAGACCAAGAACGGTTTTCCTTCTATCACTATCAGTATCTGGAGATAAAAAAGAACAACCTTCTTTTTATCACTCTAAAACAACAGTAGCCCCCAATTCCTTTAGTTTATCCACAATAGGGCCAGCCTCCTCCTTAGTTAACCCCTTCTTCAAAACAACAGGAGCTTTCTCCACCAAATCCTTGGCCTCTTTGAGCCCTAAATCAGTAAAAGTCCTGACCTCCTTTATAATCTTAATCTTTGCGGCTGTGTCAAATTTCTCGAGCTTCACATCAAAGGCCGTCTTCTCTGCGACCTTGGTCTCAGACGCCGGAGAACCAGATTTCCCTGTGGCGTCGCCGGAAATGGCACCGGATAGCGCGGGGCCATGTTTCTGAAACCCTAATTTGTGACGAAAGAGTAAAGAGTAATCATACCTCTCAATTTTGGTGAGATTCAGGAGCTCTTCTGCAATTCTTTCAAGCGTCTCAGATCTGGATTCAACCTGTGAAGAGAAGGAGAATGAAGAGCTTCGAAGCCTGAAGAGGGTCTTGATGCACAGATAGGATCTTCTAATTAAGATCATTTTGTTGGTGGGTTTGATTTCAAATCAAGGTTTTCGGATTTTCATACATGAATTGAGATCATTTTCGGAGTTGCAGAGAGGTTATTAGATTGGGCTTTATGCTGCGATTTATTGGTCATGAATGGAAAACACTTGGCGTGTCAACGAGATGATCAGGATACGGTTTCCATAGGGTTTGGTCCTCAATGAATTGAGAGAACATTTCGGGAGTTGCAGAGGGATTAACAGAATAGGGTTTTTTTTTAGGGTTTAGTGACGCCATAACTGGGAGCGTGGTTTCACTCAGGTGCATTTTAGTTCTAGTGCTATCCAGCAAAAAGTACTATGATCCATACGATCATAGAACTTCTGTGCTCATGAATATATCTCACCGTCCAATCAATAGGGAAACGGTGATGACGTTGACGATTACAGATTTTCTATAGTCATAAGCTACACATCGATAGCCCCAATCTCGAATTGACAAAATCAAGCGGCAAATAATCGATCATTATGTTCCTCCAACATTTGCAATGAAGACAATTGGTTTTTCGTTGTGCTGGTTATTAGTAGTTGCTATTGTAATTTTTCCTATTTTCAGTAGGAAAATAGTGGGAAAATATGCTCCGTTAAGGAGGATGATGTCTTTATACTCCGTAATGACTAATGAACCTCCATCGTTTCAGAATATGGCGCCTATATCAAAGGTAGGCTTGGCAATGGATAGGGCCACCTCGCCCGGCCATCGAAATATAGGGCCAGGGCCACAAAATGTTGCTTCAGGGCCAAGCATGGCCCAAGCCATGACAAGGCAGGGTTGGGCTTATGTAGTATCTTTTTCAAGTTTTTAATAATTCTTTTATTTTTTTTAGGCCCTGGCCAGTCTGGGCCTAGGGACATGGGCACTGATTGGGCCGGGACTAGCTTGGGCCAAGATGTCATCGTAAGGAAGTCACATTGATTTTGCAACACGAGATTCGATGTTGAGCGCGATAAAAGTTTTGATGTAGGCATGGTTAGCTCTTATAAAGTGTTTTTTTTTAGGAAACTTGTTTCATAAGGGCTTGGCCGCATATATGAGATCTAAAAAGTGTAAAGTATCTATCTTAAAGAAGGATGCAAGTAGGTGTTCTATTTAAAAACAGTAGAATCTGACGGTCCAAATGTTTTTTTACTAGACTTATTATTTTTAGTTTTTAAAATTTACTTATTTTTTTCATATTCATGATCTCCATGTTAGAGATTACATGTCCTTAAAAATTAAGTCCAAAAATCCATCCCAAAAATAGGTTTTATTAATAAGCCAGCATTTCTACATATGCGGGCTTGGCCCCATAAAAACCAGGTCTTTTTTTATATATAAGAAAAAGTATTTGGTGAGTCGGCCAATTCTACACGCCCTCCAAAATCCTTCTTAAATATGGATTTTGGATCCAAAAATTTAGGGTTTGTTAATGATAAATATGAATCTAGATATTTATATTTTTAGAAGAAAGTGACTTTAAGACAATGTTAGAAAAACCAGGTGATCTAACAAGTAACTGTCCGGTTAGATCATTGGCCGGTTTCGGTTTCGCGCGGTTTTGGTGATCGGCTGGTATTTTAAAATAAAAAATTCAAAAAATTGTATATAAAATCCAAAAAATAAGGAATTTAGTTTGTAATACATTTTTAAATATTCTTTATATTATGGTAAATATTACAAATTGTTGTGGTCATTAATATTCCCTTTTATATATTTTCCATCTTTTTCAAAAAAATTTAAAAATACCCGTAGATACAAATCGATTATTTAAAATCCATTTTTTCATTTATTTTTATCTTCATTTGAATGTGTTTTGTTTTAATCATTCTTTATAGGGAAACGTTTATATAGAGCCTAGGCTCTAAACAATCAAATTAGAGCCTACCTTAAAAATACAACTAGAAGAGATTGTTTTGATGCCCAAATATCCTCAAATTGATCATCTCGACATCAAGATACATGGAGTTCAGAAAAAAATGGATTTCAAAGTTTGGAAATAGTGCATCTCGTAAGGCGTTTTGGACCGTCAATTTTTACGGTATTCAAGTTTTCACAGATCTGCTCGATCTATACTATTTTTGAAGCTCTGATTTTATAACTAAAGATGAAAATATAATTTAAGGCTATCACAAAACTTTCCTGCATCGAAAACCATATTTCTCAACACTATATGAAGGTGGGCTCTAATTTGATTGTTTAGAGCCTCGGCTCTATACAAACCACTCCCTTCTTTATATGCTTTTCATATTTGAATAGATTTTTTTTATTGTTTTTTTATTTTTTTTCAACAATTTTTTGATTGCCCGGGGCTTGCCCGGTTAGAACAGTTGAATCGACCGGTTTACCAGTTAAGCCGATTAAATCACTTATGGCCCAATGTCCGATTAACCGTTCCGGTTCGATTTTGCGAACACTGCTCTAAGATTAGATATTGTTTATATATATAGAACTATCTCATTTAAATTCGTCATAACTAAAAGAAAAAATTGCGTAAATATCCATTTTATTTTTTGTTATTATGAAAATACCTAAAAATTTTCATTATCACTCATATGTCCGTTTTTTGAACTTCATAATAATTTTTTGAAAAAAAGACGAAACTACTCATTTTTAGTTTTTTGATAAAACCGAATTTTACTATTTGTAGACTTGGCCAAGTTATTGGCTTTTCGATTGTAATGCATACCTTTACACTTTCATGTTAAGGGTTCCAGTCTTGCCATATGCAATCTCATCATGGAATGGACAGGATTTGATACCAAACCCTCTTAAAGAGGTATGTATGCTTTTACTAAGACGCTATTTGAATAATAGTAATAGAAGTAGGTATTTGACTAGTTTTAGATAATAGTACTAGACGTACGTATTTGACAAATTTTAGAGAATGAAGAAACTTGCTGCACATTTAAAGAGAAAAGTTTAGGTTTTTCAAAAAAAACCAAAAAATAAATAAATTCGGTTTTTGAAAAACAGAAATTTTAATAATTTTAGTTTTTAGAAAAAACGAAAATGGGTAGCTTCTTCTTTTAAAAAAAAAAATTTGTTATGAAATTTAAAAACAGGCACCAGTAATAATGGAAAGTTTTAGGTATTTCTGTAATAATGAAAAATAAAATAGATATTTATATAATTTTCCCTAACTAAAATCCAGAAAACCAATTTTTGACAAAAAAAACCATTGCTTCTAACGGTTATTATTTTGAAATACCCTTTCGTATTTTCTACACAAACATATTAACATTTTTATTATCTCTTTTGAACATTTTTCATTGACTTCTTCGCTGAGTCCAGTGTCGATTTTGGGGTAAGTACGAATGACCCAAGACACCCCAAAATGTGGGAGGGTTAGAAACCTTCTACTCAAATATGTGATATATTTAGTCCTTTGATATTGACATCCATGTCCGGGTAAAGGGCTCAGTTGTGTTCGGTAGGTAGACAACGTAAAATTTTGTTAAAACTTATCATGAATCTTGAAGCGGACTAGGATTTATGTAGCAGACTCCAATTAATTAAAAAAAAAAAGCTATGATGATGTTGAGATGTTAACATCCATATAAGTTTATAATATATAAGCATAAAGCCACACTTATTTATGCATACATACCTTTTAATTGCTCCACCATCACCTAAATATTCAGCTAGTTTATAGACCAAATAAGTTTATAAAGCTTTATTAATAACAAATTATCTAGACCGTCCATTTTCAAGATTTTCATGGGTTTATAGATCTACCTAATGTGAAAAATTTTTGGAGTTTAAAATTTTATAATTAAAGATAAAAATAGATTTTTAAGTCATCGTAGGAATTTTTCACACCAAAATTATATCTTATGATAAAATTTAGGGGTGCCCTTGATTTGATTTTTTATTGTTACAACCTTATACAAACCATACCGTCTGTTGAATTCTAACTTTTTCACATGTGCATCTCCAAACTTGAAATTGATGTTTTAAATTGTTTATTTTTTAATTAAAGCTATGGAAAAACTGTTTCAAGGAAGAGATCCTCTAAATTATTTCATGTTGGTTTATATGATCATCCTCCATATGATTATTTTCAAAAAATTATCCCTACCAATGATCTTTCTAGATAGAGAGAGCTAATGATTGGGGTGGAGGATCCCACCACTCTTTATTTTATGACTCAAGACCCTCTCATATGAAATAGGAACTCCAAAATTTGGATTTCAGAACGATTGTGTATTTAACTGGTTAGAAAGAAATTAACTAGTACAAAGTATAATATAAGTATGAGAAATAAAGCATAAAAAACACAGACATCACTTGAACACAAAGATTTACGTATTGTATCTTAAAAGGGTACATCCACAAACATGGTAAACTGAAATCTGTTATACCAATGAAAAGGTACATCACATATTTTGGGATACAATAATCTAACCTTTGACCAAACCCTTTTGAACTAGCTTTGACCAATGCTACAAGTCAATTTTTGATTTCTACTCCATAGCTAGATATTGTACATGAAAAAACCCTTGAGTATAACTAAGACTTTCTCTTACTAAAAAGAGATTTCACCCAAAGTCTACAAGGGAGTCGTAGGTATTATCATGGTGGCTCTCTTCATAAAAAGCTCACATCTCTCTATATAATTACTTCTCAATGCAAGAGACCCTTGCTTCTCTCTCTCGAAAGAGAAAGTTACATTTCCCAAATGGTGACTTCAAATGGGGGCACATATGTTTTTCTTCGTTATCTATGTATAAAAGGTTAGAAACCATGTACCAAATAAGAAAACTTCCCTAACATGTCATACATATCTCAAAAGCCAAGTGATATAATCATGGGTCTTGAATCTTGATCTAGTTGGACTTCCATTTGCTTTACCTAATCTTAATCTGACTTATAAAAGGATTTCTATGGGCTTGTCATTTTACTTAAGACTTTCTCTAACAATGTCCACCTTAATATTAAAATCACCTCCTTATGATATCAACATCCATCATATAATTTCACAATTTCCTCCTTTTTTTCTAAATAAACCCCTTAGTCATTTTTACTAAAAAATTATGTTTGCCATCGTATTTTTTCACCTCAAAACAAAACACTCACACATATCGTCATAGACTTTTATTTGACCGAATAAACTAAACGAAGCTATATATTGAACCATGTATTCTAATACCACTTCTTAGAATCCTATACTTAACCGGTACAGGATTCTACTACAAGATTCTACTACAATCCTATACTTAACCGGCTAAACAGAAGTTGGAGCCTACTACAATCCTATATTTAACCGGCTAAAAAGAAATCAATAAA